TCTGGGCAGCTGGCGGAGACCATCTCCAGCCACTAGATGGCGACCCTGTGTTGATAAGGCAAAGTGCTGGGGGGGGAGATGGCCAGTCCCCTTCACAAGGGACCAATGAGCAAGGCTGGCAGCGGGAAAAGGGAGCTATTTTAGGCTTCCTGGGAGAATACTTTGACAATCAGATACAGCACGAGGGGCTGTCACTGCAGAAACGCCTCCCAGAGGAGGGCGCACAGCCCGGGCTGACCACCTTGGCAACCGGGTTTTTCCAGCCCCACATCCAGGAGGGTGATTTCTTCCTCCTTCCAGAGATGTGAGGCAGTCTGATGCTATGGGGTATCTGAGACCTGTCCCCAAGTCCCGGAGCCTCAGCCACTGCCGCTGTGCCACCACAGAAACAGGGAGCAAAAGTTGCCCCAAGCATATGCAGTAAGGATGCCTCCTGCTGCCCCATATGCTTTACAATCATTTCAGAGAAATGTGTGAAAAGTGCCTAAGTTAAGCTGTTTTTTTTTAAAAAAACAAAACACAAGTGTATTGCTCGTATTGTCTGAGAACAAGAAACAGCCAAGTGGTCACAACATTCGGATGAAAAGCTGTTCGGTGGGGAGGACCGGCTGGCTGGGATCTGACACCCGCCCCCCTCCATCCCCAGACACTATGGCTTAGATCTGTCCTGGGACTGGCCTCCCCAGGAAGGCAGCTCAGCCAGGACCGGGAGGGGTGGGGCCTGCAGCTGGGCGGCCCCTGCAGAAACCCCTCCCCTGAACAGTGGGTACAACCAGAGTGGAACAGCGGGGTGGGGTGGGGTGGGGTGGGGGGTGGATTCCAGGGCTCGGGGTGGGGGGTGGATTCCAGGGCTCGAGCCTCCAGGGGTGAAAGGGACCCTGGTGCCCAACATTCTCATCTGCCAGATGAGAAAACAGGGCCTAAGGTTACGTGGCAAGTGAGAAACATGTGGCTCCTCACTCCGGATGGCTTTGGGTTCAACTTGCCCACAAACCCCCTTTCACTTGCTGGGCTGGTTTTAATCTTTCTACAAATGTAGGTACCAAGATCCAAACCCCTGCGTCTCCTCTCTGGGTCTCCCCACCCAGAGTCCCACCCAGGGCCCCAGCACTGACCCTCCTGCTGTGGGCACCTTGGAAGGCATCTCTGCTCTCCACCCTCGAATCAGCCCGATCCGATCTGTGGTCTCCCTCTCTGGAAGAGCCTCTCACACAGCCCAGGGAGACCCACAGAGCCGAGCGGCAGTGCTGTCGTTTTCTCAAAGTGCTTTCACTGGGTGTCCTGCAGCCGGCTCGCCGGCCTCCCCTCTCCATGCCTGTTCTGGGCCAAGGACATCCCTGTGCATGTCGGTTTCCAGCCCCAAGCTCTCCCTCCAGTCACCCTCTGGACTCGGCAGGTGGGCCTGAAGCCCATCTGTATGTGCAAATGTCACAGAGACTCAGGGACCCGCTTTGCATTCTGCATGTAGGAGAACCGGTTTCCTTCTGCCCTGCAGGGACTGGAAGGGCATCTCTTCTTTGGCCAGTGAGACCATGAGGTTTACTTTCTTGGTTCCTGTGCATCCAACTTCCTTCCTTGATCCTATCAGATGCTGGGTTCCCTCAAACCAAGGGTAGCTGCTTAATCTCAAATGCTAAGAAAAATACTGCGATTCTGACATGGGTGAGTCACAATCAGTGCGTCATCCTCTCGGAGGCTGATTCTGCCACACCGTCAGGAGGCCTGTCGCTCACACTGAGGGCGCAGCTGTGACTCCAACTAATCTCAAGGCCTGGGAAGGGCCATGGACCAAGGCCATCATGCCCTGCACTCATTCCTGCTCGGCAGCCCCGGCGGGCAAACTGCACATGTCCAGGAGAAATCACTGGGAACAAACCAGCAGGCACAGGCTCTCGGCAATGACAGATGTCTTCCTGCATCTCTTCCCACGTCAGGGCATGAGTACCGAGTCTCTGCAGACTCAGTACCTGCCTTCCTCCTCCTACCCAAAGCCCTGCAACTCCTGAACACACATGACACTCAACGCTGCAGGACTTCAAGACAGATGCCCAGTGGGGGCTTTCTGACTCAAAGTCGTTTTCTGTTGTGGGGAGGTGGGTGTGATACGGAGGGGGCGGGGCCTCAGCTGCACGCCATCCACTCAGATCCTTCACCTCTTTGATGCATTTTCCTTCGGTAACCAGAGCTCCCGGAGTGAGGGTTCTGATTCAGCCTTGTACAGACTGAGGAAGGAGATGGAAGAATTCCACTTAGCGCTTGGACCGGACATTTCTAGAAAACACCAGCACACACACAGACGGACAGCACAGCCTGCCCATGCGGGTGGCCGGCGACGCGGTCCACAGCAAGCTTGATGGCGCTCACACGCACACACCACTGAGCACACAGGACAGAGCTACAGTGAGATGGTTGCTGTGGCCGCTGCTCCCTCTGGGGTCCTCCTTAACTTGGTGGGAAAGAGACCGAGGTTGCTAGTTTTCCTGGATGGACGCCGGAGTTTCCTTGGCAAGTATCACACAGCACCGCATGAGTCCTGGAGCAAGGCTGTCTGCGGGTCTGCTCAATGTTAGAACTTGCAGCCTTTTGTGTGGGAGGCAGCAAGCAGAGATGACTTGGTGCCCTTGGTGCATCGTGTCCCCATGTCACACTCACCCTCTGCTCTGTCCCAGGGCCACTGCGTGAGTTGATATAATATCAAGGGCCCTGGAATGATCTGCAGGGAGAGGGCAGCTTCAGCTGACCCCATGGGGGAGGGAGAGGCTCACCCTTCACCAAAGACCTTTACCCTGAGTATCCCCCTACCCGCAGCAGACCCTCTGGCCAGGTGCACCCAGGAAGGAAGCAGGGGGGCTTCTCTAACTCCATGCAGCACACCGAGCGCTGGGGGGGGAGGAGGGACTCATCTAAGTTCCAAAGTGACTTCCCGGTGGAGTCAGGACTCTCCCCAACCTCCAGACTGAACCTAGTGTTTCTTCCCATTGGCTTCTGAGGGGGAATCTCTGCTTACTCCTGGATGCAAATCAGGACATGGTGGAGGCAGCAGCAAGATTTAAACACTACTCCGGGCCATAACCAATTCTAGTGTGCCTACTGCATGCTAGGCAGTGAAAAGCTACAAAGGAGTCAGAATGCCCAGGTCTGTACTGCGGGCAGACCCTTTTTGGGTCTGTCCTCATAAGCCCTGCCTTCCCCAGATGTGTTTCTTGGGGACAGAGTCCTGCTATTTCCCCCCCCCATGAGGTGTGTCACAGCAGCATTGGGGCTTTTAGCCAAGGAATGGCACTAGGGGCATTTTCTCTCATGGGTCAGGACATGACAGCTGGGACACACCAGCGTGGGGCTCTGTGTTATGGGGAGACACCTTCCAGAAATTAGACCAGGATGTCAGATTAAACTCTGAGCGATGTGTAATGGTTTTCCAACACTGATTTGAGGATTCTTGTAGCACATCCAGGATAAGAACGTGAAGGTTGTGTTTAATTAGTCATGCATGCATTGACCAAGGATGTGGGAATAGTGGTGCGTGTGCTATGGACTTGCCACTTTGAGCTAGACACTTCCTTAGCAGAAGCTAAGACTATTGGAACTCGTCTAATTCTCCCCTTCAGTTCATTTCACAGAAAAGGAAACTGGGGTCCAGAGAGGTCAACTGCCTCGACAGAAAAGCTCAAATTCTGTCTCTCTGCTAAAGCCTGTCTTCTCCAGCCTTATCCATGGACCGGGAGTGTGCTCACCACTCAAAACAAGATCATGGGCTCAGCTGACCTACTGAGGTATTTGATAATCTTAAAAAAAATAAATTCTCAAAGGAGTATGGTTGGCATCATCAACACATTACATTAGCTTGCTTAAGGAGTCACTTTCAAACTTTTTTTAAAGCAGCAGGACCCTTTTTTAAAAAATACAAACATTTCTCAAGGAACCCTGATGTGCAGAAGAGCTCAAGGAAGGCTGCTCTGTCTGCAGCGGGGATGACACATTCACCCCTGGCCCGGCCAAGCTCTCCCTCACCAAGATCCCAAGGCACCTGCAAAACATCCTGCTGGACATGGCTTTGACATCACACAAGGACACCAAGTTTAAGGAAAAGCCCATCTAGAGCGCTTTTTCAGCTGGCAGGAGCAGGGAGGTTGTCTCAGCCATCCTGCCTGCACCCCTGTTCCTGGCTCCCCTGCCGACGCTCCCCAACGCCTCCAAGATGAGGAAAAGGAAAAGAACGGCCTGGCTGAAGGGGCAGGGTGGCCTGGCTGCTGGCCTCAGGAGAATGGTGGCTCCCGACCGTGTCCACGGGCAGAGGTGGGCTGTGGGGCCATGCAGGATCAAAGCTGATGGTGCACCAGAGCCAAGCGCCAGGACTTGAACTCACCCGAGGTGGTGAGTCAACAGCTGACATAATTTCCCAAACAGGCCCCCTTAGGCTTCTGGCCTGGTACCCAACGTAACCAAATTTACCACTCCCAGTCCCCAAAACGTGGCATCTTTGCCCCAGTTACTGCAGAAGCATGTGACCAGGAGTCAGAAGGCCTGGTCCGGGTCCCTGCTTGGCCTTCTCACGGGACCTGTACATGTTATTTAGCCTCTCGGGGCACTGCCAGCCTCGCCTAGAAGACGGAAATAGCACAGCTTGTCCCGCCTTCCATCCAGGGCACACGGAGGTCTGGGGCTTGTGGACGGCCACACGCTCCAAGTGTGAACTGGGCCAGACGGAGGCGCCCATGGCCATCTGACCCAGGACTTCTCAGCAGGAGACAGACAGGGCAGGGCTCTGGAGGAAACCTCCTAGATGTGGCTCCTGGATGTGGCTCCAGGCCGTGTCCCCCTCCCCCCTGGGACCCGTCTACAGCCACCTGGCAACTCCGGGACAGCCGGTGAGGGGAGCAGAGCAGCTCAGTGGCAAACACAGGGTGACAGTGCATAGTTAAAAATCAAGGAAGCGGTACATAGTCCCAGGCACGGCACATCTGAGCCGTAAATACATAAGTTTAAGGGTATACTTTTTCTTCAATTAAAAATGAGTTTATAATCCTGATTCTATTCACAAGTAACAATTTCATCATCACACACTACAGACAGGAAATGTCGTGGCGAACACGGCTGCAAGTCTACGAGAGGGAGTCAGTCGGGGAGGGGCGATGGGTGACTGCCCGGCACTTGGAGGGCACCAGGACACCCCGTGGCAAGCGGGGACACTAATGTGGCAGTGGAACGTCACACAGGGAGACTCACAGACAGAAGCAGCTTCGTTCCATGTAAACATCGATTTCTCAAAAGGACAGCAGTTCCCAGTCTCTCACGTGCTCTCACGCGCTCCTCCTCGTCTACTCGGTTTCTTTGAAAACGTAAACATGTTGAAGGGCCTCGTCTGAGGTATTGAGGTATTCCTCGAAGGTTAAGGCTGTTAATGCAGGCTCTGCTGGGCCTCTTTCAGCAAGCTGTCAAAATCCATGGCCTCATACTTGCTTTTCCCTGACGCAGGAAGGGCCTCTTCTGAGTTGGAATCTGGACACAGCACGGGAGACGGTGAGAGATGGTGGCGGGGAGGCCATGAGGTGGGAGGGGTTGGGGGGTAGATGGTTGGGGAAAGATAGTGGGGGCAGAGGTGGTGGGAGGAAGATGGTGGGGGATACAGTGGTGAGAGGCAGTTGGGGGGAGGGTGGGGTGAGGCAGTGACGGGAGAGGTGGTGAAGGGGAGCCA